GCAGATTGTTACAATCACCGAATTGTGCGCTGGTGTAAAGCGAAGGAAGGCGAACTAATTATTGGTGGAAATGGACAAGGAGAAAAAACAAACCAACTATCCTATCCAGGCAGTCTATCTTTTGATGTCGACGGAAATCTTTATATTGCTGATGGTGGGAATAACCGAATCCAAAGATTTGATTTAATTTGTGAATAACAAAGATTTTCAGTTTTTGAATTGTAAGAAATAAGAAAAACTCGAGTACTTGTGATTGTATGACTAATTGAACTTCGTATGAATTTTGATATTGCACTGGGCAACGATTGTACTGATGAAAAAATAGAACCTATATTCTCTTACTGTCGAGTACTTTTTATCAATTGCCATTTTCAATGCATGTATCACCGGGATGTTATATGCACTGACGGTGCAAAAATTGGCCACAATTTTAATTAAAAACAAACTTTTTCCGAAGAGAAATGATAACCGCAATTACTCAAACGTGATGACAGTGCATTTTTTTCGATGATGTGTCTGTATCGTATATAATATATATACACGTGTGTACTTTTTTTAAATTGGTTAACGCCATGTCTTCATATCAATCTCAACCAGGCTGGTAAGTGAAGCTGTTCAGCAAGTATTCAACTGTACACACATTTGTGACTTTTTGCAGTCGTGATGGACAACAGCGCCAACAACAACAACAAGCTGCAGCAGCTTCACATCATCCATCGGTTTCATCGGAAGCGGCCAGTAGTGGACATCATCGTAGTAGCAAAGTAAATAGACATGTTACATATTTTGATATAAATATCACATTCTTTGCTTGAAATTAGAAACGTCCAGTCGTCTTTGTAATCTATTACTCAATGTATGGTCATGTCGAACGTATGGCCAAAGAAGTAGTCGCTGGCGTTGAAGCTTCGGGCTGTGAATGTCGCCTATTTCAAATCGCAGAAACGTTGCCCAGTGAAGTTCTCTCTAAAATGCATGCTAAAGAGAAGAACTCTCAAGTGCCAATTATCTCAGTTGATCAACTACCTGAAGCAGATGGCATCCTTTTTGGCGTACCTACACGTTTTGGCTCAGCACCAACACAAGTACGTGCTCTATTTGATCAATGCGGTGGTCATTGGATGTCCGATGCACTTTTTGGCAAACCAGTAAGTTTTTTTTTCCGTGACATCACGTTACCGTCATGTACTTCCATCATAGGTTGGTATTTTCTTCTCGACAGGCTCTCTTGGTGGTGGTCAAGAGACGACTGCACTCACTTGTGTCACTTTCTTCTCCCATCTTGGCATGATTTTCGTGCCTCTCGGATATAAAGACAAAAGTCTTCAAACTATCGACGAAGTACATGGTGGATCAGCATACGGTAAGTCAGCGCCCGCTGTTTCATTCGTTGAAGGTGTTTCTTTAATCGTGTTCAGGTGCGGGCACACTCGCTGGTGATGGTTCGCGACAGCCAACTGCGCTCGAACTCAAAGTTGCGCAAACCCAAGGTCGACAATTTGGAAAAGTTGTTAAAAAACTCGCTCGTTAATGAAAGTTAATCATTGTACTGAGGGCGTATCGAAAATAAGGACAAATAAATATTTCATAATTATACGTTGAAAGAAAAATACATAAGTTTCATCACTTTTTGATGAATACTCTGGATGAGATTTCAACTCACAACCGTTGGCTCATCAGACGTTACTGTGCTAATCTATTGAATCCCTGATCGATAACTTTTAATCCCTAACATCGTTTCAAATGTAATGTGAAGGTAAAATGTCTTCTCTCGTTTCTTCGTGCTTTTCATAAGAGTGACTCACTGTGGTAAACAAACGCGTACGTCATACATTTCTTTCGTAATATTATGGTTATTTTTGTATCATATAAACAAAACGATTTTACGACTCACTAATTCTGGCTATCCTTTCTCTTTCTATGTTATAAAATCATTGATTACTCTACGCAGTAACATCATTCGCTTTCATATCGATGGTGAAATATAGTCATCATCAAACACTGCTTGTCTTCATCTATGTTGAATATTTATTCCAATGGTTACTATTGAATCATTCCCTAATGAATTGTGGATGATGTTCTTCGGATATTTCAATGCCCACGAATTGTATTATCATTTCAATGGTCTCAATGCAAGAATTGATCGTCTTATTCGATCAGTCAGTAACCTTTGTTTGAAAATCAATGAAAAGAATTATGCTTACTATCTTGAACACATAATGCCGTGGATCGATTTTCGAAATGTTCAATCTTTGTCGTTTCACAGTCAATCAAAAACCGTAAAAACAACTGACTTTTTTCTACGTTATCCATTGATTCGATTTCGAAAACTTCGTTCATTTGTATTTCACGATTGGTATCTTCCTCTCGACAACCATCGACAGATTATCGAACAACTTCCATATCTGAAGATTTTAGAAAGACTCGATATCAAACTGATGGAACTTTCGATGGATTTTTCTGATGACAACAATACTCGTGCGATAGAACTTATATTTAACAGTAGTAAGAATCTGCGAGCCTCATTAAAACATGTTGCACTAGACATTTATGTGAGTAATTCAATGCTTCCTCAAATTAGCTTCCTGCCAACAAATATTGAAAATCTTCAAGTTTCCGTTATGCATGTCGAACCTTTTCTAAAATTAACACCGTCATTGGCGTCGAGCTGCAGAAGGATTCATTTCAAATATCTCGAAGGAAGTCATTCGAGTGAAGTACAGTTGCCACCTTCGCCAAAGGCTCTTAGTCATTGTACGAAAGTAATCGTTAAAAAAACAAATTGTTACTTTCGATTCGACCATTTGGAAGCTTTCCTGAATTGTCTGCCGGAAGTGAAACAACTGTCAATTGACAATACATGCGCCAATGAATTTATAACAGCAGAACACCTGGAATTCTTATTAAATAAGTATTGTTCAAAATTATCGAAATTTCAATATGCGTATCGTGACGATCCTTCGTATACTTTTGCTGATTTTACTGGCGCATGTAAGCAATCCGAATATTGGTCAAGTGGAGATGTTCATTTTGTCAAAGTTCTTCACGGACATGTGCTTTATTTCGATCGAAGACAATAAAATACAGAATTAAATCGATTTTTGTAATTGATATCGTAGATGCTTTCCATAGTCTTCAGTAACATCGATATGAGAAAGAGTCATGCCAGCTTTTGACAAAGATTTCCATGAACCTTCATTGTCGAGTCTTGCTGTACCAACTACTGCTTCAGGCAATAGACCATTGATAGTATAGCCTTCTTGTTTCAAACGGGTAGCGTATTGAATAATGGCACATGCTTCCGCTGTACCCACCCCGGAGTAAAGCCGGCTACCAGGGCTCTTGACGCTTGTGTCTGCGTACCCTGAAATAGTTTCTGGCGGACGACTCCAGCAATCAGATCGATTTAGAAAAGCCATTTCGGCAGTCGCAGGCATTGGTCCACTTCCCAAGTTAACGAGTCCTAGGAACGTCTCTGTTTGAGCGTCAGAAACAACAAATCCACTGTAGAGATAGAGTGGACAGTATCTATTTTGAAATCGATCCACGAATGTTTCTACTCGGGCAATGGTTGCTTTCAGAGAACTAGTTTGACCATCAGCATACTTTGCCCGTACCAACGGTTGACTATTCAAGTATTGATATATATCTTGTACGTCTTTTTCTTGTACTGATTCGAAACGATATTGAACATCTTTATATTGCACTTCCATATGTACTGAAGCAGCGCCATCGGAATCGATGTCAATATCGATATGCGCTAGTGGGGGCTGAAAGTTCTTTTGTCCGTCCGCATACTGGTTGAATTTTCGCTTCGCATCTTCGATGAGATGCGTTGTATTGTCGTCGCTGTTGGCCATTGTATATTCCAATAAGAGAAAAAAAAGCAAAAGAAAACGAATGTGACAACACGTTATCGATAAGAAAAACGTGTGATATCGATATCATCGTATTTATCTTTCACCAACTGCGAGTTATTTTACATAAGCGATATTTTCTGTCTGATCGTTAACTCGTCTTTGAATAAACTTGATAAAATCGAAATGGTATTGTTTTTCTTCCGCCGCCCAGCTATTTTTGCTAATGATATTTATGACAACCTTTGAGTAGGGTGAGAAACTTTCAATTTATTGCATATATATTTCATTTAAACGACTATAACAACATACTTGTTTCTCTTATTTATCTGAATATTCATGAGTTAATTCAAGCTGTAATTTCGTTGTACCCATGCATATCGAGAACATAAAAAAGAACTACAGATTAAACCTTTTCGTGTAGAAAAGAAAAAAAAACTAGGCAACTGAGGTATAAAAAGGTGAATATATAAGCGAAACTCGACATTTACTTTTCTTTTGGTGATCTATAGAGCAAATATGAAAAGAAACTTTGTGTTAATTTTTTTTATCATCTACTATAACTATTGTATAAATGCTGATTCCACAGCGGGTAATTGTGATTAATTTCATTCCACTATTGGAAACTTTATCCTTTTTTTCTTACAGCAAATCAAACATCAGCCCCGTACAACACCATTGTTGGATATGCATCAAGTAACGTTGAAGCGTATTCGAATGGAAATGACAGTTTCATATCCGATGAGTATTCATACTTGTATGGAGTATTCATGGGGATCAAATGGCAGTGTGTTGAGTACGCACGTCGGTGGCTATTTCAACGTAAAGGTTGTAGTTTCGCAAGTATTGAAGGTGCTGCTGATATGTGGACGCAATTAGATCAAGTACAACGTGTCGAAGATAAACGATGTTTTCCACTTCGAAAATATCCGAACGGTTCTCCTTCTCGACCTGCAAACGAATCTTTATTGATTTATAATCGGTCAGTCGTATCCATGCCTTATGGACATGTTGCGGTGATTGTTGATGTCCTATCAGATGTCATTCGAGTGGCCGAAGAAAATTGGGACTCTTATTATTGGGTGGGTAATTATTCACGAGAAATTCCGTATGAATTCGTTAGTGGAGGCTATTTCATTCGAGATAATTATCCAATCCTTGGCTGGATGTCCATTGTCGATGTACAAAATCAAACAAAACCTTTAGATCAAATTTCGATCGGTAATATTTTAAAATTGAACGGTTCATCGCCTGATTTCGTGTGTGAGAAAAGCAATGCCCATCAACACAATGGACTTTTCATTCTTCTATATCTTTGTATTTCTCTCGTTTTTAATTTGTAACTGAATATTTGTATTTGAATTTCAAAGTAATCAGAAACTAATCTCACTTTTATTATTCGATAGAAGCATGAAAATCAAGGTCTTTATTTTTGATGAATGGTATACATTTCAACTCGTCGATCATTTTCAATGTAACATACGACTGAAGCAATGGCATTTCGATAGCCGACGGCATCGTAACTATGTCTGTCTTTCCAAGTAGTGTAACCTCCACGAAGATAGTTAAGGAAACCATCGATTCCATATTGTGTTATCATCTTCTCGATAGCAGCTATTGGCTGAATGCCAATACGTGTCATCATATGAACGTGCTGGTTTCTTACATACCGATAGCGACAGCCAAAGCAAGATAAGCATCACAAAAGGCCAGCTCTCTTCAAATCTTCAACGTGTCGTCGTTTGTCAGGCCCATAGGTACTACCATAGTTCTTGACTGATGCAGTTCTGTCGGCTTTGGCATTGATCTTGAAGGTGGACAAATATTCACCAGCATGGACAGCATAGACTGCCAAGAGAACGAAGCAAGCAAAACGGTGAAGAATTTCATCGTGGAAGAAATTATATGTGAACACCACTTTCTACTTTTGTCCTTATGTGGTGTCGGAGCAGAAGAGACTAATATTTACTAATATAAGTATATAAAGCTGATTCACCTACGCTACTTGAGAGATTAGGTTCTGATGAAGGCTTAATTCGACTTTACTTCTCTAGATACAGAAAGGATAATACATCAGCACGCGTGTGCGATTACATGCAGTTCCTGGCGAATTGATATTTCAGATCTATATACAATATTCTTCACTTTTTCAAAATAAAATATTTGGATGAAGAATGTTGTAATCGTACCGGCTATATTAAATACTAATGCAATGATAGCCAATATGAATGATGCGCCAACACTAGCACCCGCATTCAGCGCATCGACGGTGATGCTAATTCCAAGAGATACTCCAATAATTCCGCCAATGACACTTGCTACAACAAGACCTTTTGCCAACACAGATATGTTTTTCTTTAAATTTTCGTTCACAAATGCAATTAGTAATACAGATACAGCCGAGGATGAAGATAAAATGCAGCTCACTGTCATAAACGCTCGTGCTGCCAACACCTTATCCTTGGCTCTTGCAGTTGGTAAACTTTTGCACACCAGTTTAGCTCCTGTTTTAAGACAATCTTGCCATAATCCAAATATAAATGATCCCGATGCATCTGACAACTGAAACCTACACCAAGAATAAAAAAATGTTCCTTCATGCGAATCTTTTAATAAAAGAAAATTCATACGAACCACATCGGTAAACCATTGGCAATAATATATAAAATAGCAGTTACAGCTAAAACGCTACTGGTGATAAATATTACACGTCGATTTTCAAAAGCCATCCTGCTTTAAATGAACAAAAGAGAACACTGCACTGATGGAAAATCATAGCTAGTCAACAGTACATGCTTTTACATACGGATGTATGTGATCGCGTTGCGATAAGAGCATTCTTATTTTATTGAATCAGCGTCCATGTGTCGATAATTAAGTGTGCGTGATATTAAAATAAAGACGTTTATCTGACGTCATTAGAGGAGAGAATGCTTTTAAAAGTTGACACATGGATCGATATTTTCCCTTTTTTTAATGAAATTATTCATAGAGCAGATCCAATAGTTTGGTTCTGACAAAACGAAGTGAAAATTTCTAACTGGAGGATGAAGGTGCGATCGAATTACTCACATTTACACTCAGATCGTAAAATTGCATTCTTTCTTTGTCTACAAGAGCGTTATTCGCTAAAACTGTGCACAGATGTCACCAAACTTTGTGTGTTTCTGTTGGCGACATACCGAATTCTCATTCCATCGTTACTTATTCTTCAGGTCACTCAATTGCGAACTTAGACAAGTGCTAATCAGAAATGACGCCGACGAAGAGATATCTATCAACGTATATTCCTCTCCTGTTGTTATTCTACCTAATCTGGACGTATTGTTGAAAAAAAAACGTTTCAGATTGGAGCGTTAAGTTCAACAACTGATTGGTATTCATTCGAATAAACGAATATTAGTCGACGGCGATTCCGAACTAGGCGATACGCAAACTCTTTCCAGTTACAGCATTGAGAATAATACTAGATCATTTATGTATTGTCAATGAGCTCTGCATACAGTGACACGGATCACTCATCAGCTAGTATACAGCTTGAACTGAGAGCAAAGCATTCATGTCGACTTGTTTTCTTTTCGACCATTGCTGTCTAGATGAAAGATGGTGAAAGAATTGTATTTGATGTAACTTTATTTGTTTTCATTCTTTTCATATTGCGTGGACAATATCAGCTTTCTATTGGATTTTTCCTGGGCGAATCCATCCTGGACAATCAGGGATGTGAAAAGAAAGATCTGAGAACAAGCACACATACCACCTGTTAAGCAATTTTTCGTTATAGTAATGATGCTGAGATCAATGATCGATAACGATGCTATCTCTCGCTTAAGCCTTAGAAACGGCTCTACAATTCGCTCCCATTCGAATGGACTACGAAACAGAGGCGGTTACTCACGCATCAGTAACAGTGAGTGCTAGTTTTACGCAGCTTGCCGTAAAAATAATGCGGCAAAAGTTTGAGAACTTCTTCAGATACTCGCAATCGAAGATATGAATAAGCTATAGGATCAGATGGAAGCACATCACTTCATGTTGCTTATTACTGATGACACAAATCAGTGGTAAACTGACTTTCGAAGAAGGGTGTCTCTTAATTAAGCCGAACTCTGAGAGTTTTTTCAGATGACTCCCAAGAGGGATGATCTTAAATATCTGCTGAAAGATTACACGGCTGAGGCAGGTTTCTACACTAAGCTCAACGTTGATCTCGTCAGAATAAAGCTGAACGAAAGCTTTACATTGCTATTCTTGTGTTTCATCCTTCCTTTGATCAATATCGGTTTACCGGTGAAGTATATTGCGGAATATGGGTGAAAGCCAAGTAGAATATTTCGTCGGAAAATTCAAACGCAAGAATATCAAAGGTCATGACATCAAGATGGATACGATTTGTGCTTACATAATTGAAGATCAACGAATCAGTCTCGATATTAAATCACATATCAGAATATCAAAAAGAAAAAGAAGTGTTCATCTTTTCGTATACTGTTTTTACCGTGACCAGTATCGAGACACCACTATGGTAGCGAATGTCAATACAAACATCAGTATTACTCTCACACAATATCGATCAGAGCTTTCTTCGTAAGAATTAATAACAGTTTTTCAAAAGCCAATGTGAACATATAGATAAATTTTCTCTTCCGTTGGATGGTTATTACGCTCATTGCAGCTGAACGACTATTAATTATGTCGTCTTGAATAGGCGAAGAAAAGTTACGCGATTTTTCTCTTCTTTCTTTCAATATTACAGTTATTATTTGGCGGAGAACAAATAAATTATACGTGTCTAATAAACTGCATTTAAAATCTGGTAGTGAGAAAATATGAAACTTTAGATTTAATGTCATGTTAGTATACCAATGTAATATTTGATAGTTAGACTGCGATTGCAATCGCATAGAAAAAAAGGAAGAAAAATACATCAGTAATATACAGTGCAGCTATTAATTATGATGATTTTTTTCTCGTAAACCGAGGATTTACATCAAGATCAATACTACAGTCTCCCTCTTTTTCTTCCTTAAACTTGATCTTCAAGTAGTTCAAATATATATTCCGTCCATGAATTCTTACACGGAAAATTGTTTTTTCTCTCATAGAAACGCAGTACTGTCGCTACATCATTACCTGTTAAAAACGTGACTTTCTTTTGCATGCATGAGTTTGTTTGGAAGATTAACAGGAATATTATTCTTATATATAAAAGTTTCTGCAGCTAGATAATATATTTACAAGTGATAACCATCGTTCTACTAAGAGTAAAGTTCATATCACACAATGAAAACTTGGATCCTGATTGCAATAATGATTATTCAGCATGAACTAGGTACATATTCCTTTTTCTAATATAATTTAGTCAAAGTACAGTTTTCTCTTTATCACCATCAGGTATTTCTTTAAATCAATCAAAGTTTAGTTTATGTGCGCAGTGGAGTGACGTAGCAGTGACATTCGCTGATCAAAGCTGCATTGGGCTACAACCGACTGGTATCTTTATCAATTCGCAGAACAATATCTTTGTAACTGAACGACAATATGGTCAGATTCTNACTGTTGACGGTTTCGGTCAAATTTATGTTGCAGATTGTTACAATCACCGAATTGTGCGCTGGTGTAAAGCGAAGGAAGGCGAACTAATTATTGGTGGAAATGGACAAGGAGAAAAAACAAACCAACTATCCTATCCAGGCAGTCTATCTTTTGATGTCGACGGAAATCTTTATATTGCTGATGGTGGGAATAACCGAATCCAAAGATTTGATTTAATTTGCGAATAATAAAGATTTTCAGTTTTTTAATTGTAAGAAATAAGAAAAACTCGAGTGCTTGTGATTTTATGACTAATTGAGCTTGGTAAGAATTTTGATATTGCACTGGATAAAAATTGTACTGATGAAAAAATAGAACCTACACCGTCTTACTGTCGAGTACTTTTTATCAATTGTCATTTTCAGTGCATGTATCACCGGGATGTTAGATGCATTGACGATGCAAAAATTAGCCACAATTTTAATTAAAAACAAACTTTTTCCGAAGAGAAACGATAACCGCAATTACTCAAACGTGATGACAGTGCATTTTTTTCGATGATGTATACGTATCGTGTATATATATATATATATACACGTGTGTACTTTTTTTAAATTGGTTAACGCCATGTCTTCATATCAATCTCAACCAGGCTGGTAAGTGAAACTGTTCAGCAAGTATTCAACTGTACACACATTCGTGGTTTTTTGCAGTCGTGATGAACAACAGCGCCAACAACAACAACAAGCTGCATCACTGAGTTACACTCAAAATGCTGCAGCAGCTTCACATCATCCATCGATTTCATCGGAAGCGGCCAGTAGTGGACATCATCGTAGTAGCAAAGTAAATAGATATGTTACATATTTTGAAGTAAATGTCACATTCTTTGCTTGACATTAGAAACGTCCAGTCGTCTTTGTAGTCTATTACTCAATGTATGGTCATATCGAACGTATGGCCAAAGAAGTAGTCGCTGGCGTTGAAGCTTCGGGCTGTGAATGTCGCTTATTTCAAATCGCAGAAACGTTGCCCAGCGAAGTTCTCTCTAAAATGCATGCTAAAGAGAAGAACTCTCAAGTGCCAATTATCTCAGTTGATCAACTACCTGAAGCAGATGGCATCCTTTTTGGCATACCTACACGTTTTGGTTCAGCACCAACACAAGTACGTGCTCTATTTGATCAATGTGGGCGTCATTGGATGTCCGATGCACTTTTTGGCAAACCAGTAAGGTTTTTTTTCCGTGACTTCACGTTACCGTCATGTACTTTCATCATAGGTTGGTATTTTCTTCTCGACAGGCTCTCTTGGTGGTGGTCAAGAGACGACTGCACTCACTTGTGTCACTTTCTTCTCCCATCTTGGCATGATTTTCGTACCACTCGGATATAAGGACAAAAGTCTTCAAAATATCGACGAAGTACATGGTGGATCAGCATACGGTAAGTCAGCGCTCGCTGTTTCATTCGGTGAAGGTGTTTCTTTAATCGTGTTCAGGTGCGGGCACACTCGCTGGTGATGGTTCGCGACAGCCAAGTGCGCTCGAACTCAAAGTTGCGCAAACCCAAGGTCGACAATTTGGAAAAGTTGTTAAAAAACTCGCTCGTTAGTGAAAGTTAATCATTGTACTGATGCCGTGTCGAAAAAAAAGGACAAATAAATATTTTATAATTACACGTTGAAAGAAAAATACATCAGTTTCATCATTTTTTGATAAATACTCTGGATGAGATTTGTACTCATAATCTTCAACTCATCAGACTACTGTGCTAATCTATTGAATCCCCGATCGATAACTTTTAATTGCTAACATCGTTTCAAATGTAATGTGAAGGAAAAATGTCTTCTCTCGTTTTTTCGTGCATTTCATAAGAGTGACTCGCTGTGGTAAACAAATGCGTACGTCATACACTTCTTTCGTAATATTATGGTTATTTCTGTATCATATAAACAAAACGATATTACGACTCACTAATTGTGTCTATTCTTTCTCCTTCTGTGTTATAAAATCATTGATTACTCTACGCAGTAACATCATTCGCTTTCATATCGATGGTGAAATATAGTTGTCATCAAACATTGCTTTTCTTCATTTATATTGAATATTCATCCCAATGGTTACTATTGAATCATTGCCTAATGAATTGTGGATGATGTTCTTCGGATATTTCAATGCCCACGAATTGTATTATCATTTCAATGGTCTCAATGCAAGAATTGATCGTCTTATTCGATCAGTCAGTAACCTTTGTTTGAAAATCAATGAAAATAATTATGCTTACTATGTTCAACATATAATGCCGCGGATCAATTTTCGAAATATCCAATCTTTGTCGTTTCACAGTCAATCAAAAACCGTAAAAACAACTGACTTTTTTCTACATTATCCATTGAATCGATTTCGAAAACTTCGTTCATTTGTATTTCACGATTGGTACCTTCCTCTCGAAAACCATCGACAGGTTATCGAACAACTTCCATATCTGAAGATTTTGGAAAGACTTGATATCAAACTGATGGAACTTTCGATGGATTTTTCTGATGAGAACAATACTCGTACGATAGAACTTATATTTAACAGTAGTAAGAATCTGCGAACCTCATTAAAACATGTTACACTAGACATTTATGTGAGTAATTCAATGCTTCCTCAAATCAGCTTCCTACCAACAAATATTGAAGATTTTCAAGTTTCCGTTATGCATGTCGAATCTTTTCTAAAATTAACTCCGTCATTGGCGTCGAGCTGTAGAACGATTCAATTCAAATATCTCGAGGGAAGTCATTCCAATGAAGTACAGTTGCCACCTTCGACAAAGGTTCTTAGTCATTGTACGAAAGTAACCGTTAAAAAAACAAATTGTTACTTTCGATTCGATCATTTAAAAGCTTTTCTGAGTTGTCTGCCGGAAGTGAAACAACTGTCAATTGATAATACATGCGCCAATGAATTTATAACAGCAGAACACCTGGAATTCTTATTAAATAGGTATTGTTCAAAATTATCGAAATTTCAATATACGTATCGTGACGATCCTTCCTATACTTTTGCTGATTTTACTGGCGCATGTAAACAATCCGGATATTGGTCAAGTGGAGATGTCCATTTTGCCAAAGTTCTTCACGGACATGTGCTTTATTTCGATCGAAAACAATAAAATACGGAATTAAATCGATTTTTGTAATTGATACCGTAGATGCTTTCCATAGTATTCAGTAACATCGATATGAGAAAGAGTCATGCCAGCTTTCGACAAAGATTTCCATGAACCTTCATTATCGAGTCTTGCTGTACCAACTACTACTTCAGGCAATTGGCCATTGACTGTATAACCTTCCTGTTTCAGACGGGTAGCGTATTGAATGATAGCACATGCTTCCGCTGTACCCACCCCGGAATAAAGTCGGCTGCCAAGGTTCTTGACGCTTGTGTCTGTATACCTTGAAATAGTTTCTGGCGGACGACTCCAGCAATCAGATCGATTTAGAAAAGCCATTTCGGTAGTCGCAGGCATTGGTCCACTTCCCAAGTTAACAAGTCCTAGAAACGTCTCTGTTTGAGCGTCAGAAACAACAAATCCACTGTAGAGATAGAGTGGACAGTGTCTATTTTGAAATCGATCCACGAATGTCTTTACTCGGGCAATCGTTGCTTCCAGAGAACTTGTTTGACCATCGATATACTTTGCCCGTACCAACGGTTGACTATTCAAATATTGATATATATCTTGTACATCTTTTTCTTGTACCGATTCAAAACGATATTGAACGTCTTTATATTGCACTTCCATGTGTACTGAAGCAGCGCCATTGGAATCGATGTCAATATCGATATGTGCTTGTGGGGGCTGAAAGTTCTTTTGTTCGTCCGCGTACTGGTTGAATTTTCGCTTGGCATCTTCGATGAGGTGCGTTGTATTGTCGTCGCTGTTGGCCATTGTATATTTCAATAAGAGAAAAAAAGCAAAAGAAAAAGAATGTGACAACACGTTATTGATAAGAAAAACGTGTGATATCGATATCATCGTATTTATCTTTCTCACCAACTGCGAGTTATTTTACATAAGCGATATTTTCTGTCTGATCGTTAACTCGTATTTGAATAAACTTCACAAAATCAATATGGTTTTCTTTTTCTAATGCCCAGCTATTTTTGCTAATGGTATTTATGACAACTCTCGAGTATAAGGTGAGAAACTTTCAATTTATTGCATTTACCTTTCATTTAAATGACTATAATAGCATACTTGTTTCTCTTATTTATTTAAATATTCATAGGTTAATTCAACCTATAATTTCGTTATACCCGTGTATATTGAAAACATAGGAACGAACTACAGATTAAATCTTTTCGTGCAGAAAAGAAAAAAAAACAGTCTTCCAAGGTATAAAAGAGATGAATATATAAGTAAAAGTCGACATTTACTTTTCCTTTGGTGGCCTATAGAGCAAATATGAAAAGAAACTTTGTGTTGATTGTTTTCATCATTCACTATAATTATTGTATAAATGCTGATTCCACATCAGGTAATTGTGATTGATGTTATTCCACTATTGAAAACTTTATCCTTTTTTTTACAGCAAATCGAACGTTAGCACCGTACAATGCCATTGTTGGATATGCATCAAATAACGTTGAAGCGTATTCGAATGGAAATGACAGTTTCATATCCGATGAGTATTCATATTTGTATGGAGTATTCATGGGGATCAAATGGCAATGTGTTGAGTACGCACGTCGATGGTTATTTCAACGTAAAGGTTGTAGTTTCGCAAGTGTTGAAGGTGCTGCTGATATGTGGACGCAATTAGATGAAGTACAACGTGTCGAAGATAAACGATGTTTTCCGCTTCGAAAATATCCGAACGGTTCTCCTTCTCGACCTGCAAACGAATCTTTGTTGATTTATAATCGGTCAGCCACATCCATGCCTTATGGACATGTTGCAGTGATTGTTGATGTTCTATCGGATGTCATTCGAGTGGCCGAAGAAAATTGGGACTTTTATTATTGGATGGGTAATTATTCACGGGAAATTCCGTATGAATTGATTAGTGGAGGTTATTTCATTCGAGATAATTATCCAATCATTGGTTGGATGTCCATTATCGATGTACAAAATCAAACAAAACCTTTAGATCAAATGTCGATCGGTAATATTTTAAAATTAAACGGTTCATCACCTGATTTCGTGTGTGAGAAAAGCAATGCTCATCAACACAAGGGGCTTTTCATTCTTTCATATCTTTGTATTTCTCTCGTTTTTAATTTGTAACCGAAATATTTGTATTTGAATTTCAAAGTAATCAGAAACTAATCTCACCTTTATTATCAGATAGAAGGATGAAAGTCAAGGTTCTTACTTTTGATGAATGGTATACATTTCAACTCGTCGATCATTTTCAATGGATCGTACGATTGAAGTAATTGCATTTCGATAGCCGGCAGCATCGTAACTATGCTCGTCTTTCCAAGCAGTGTAACCTCCATGAAGATAGTTAATTCGTTTAATGATAATCAGCAGGATTGAACGTGCTGGTTTATTGGATGCCGATAGTGACAGCTAAAGCAAGATAAGCATCGTAAAGACCAGCTCTCTTCAAAGCTTCAATGTGTCGTCGTTTGTTAGCTTCATAGGTACTACCATAATTCTTGACTGATGCAGTTCTGTCGGCCTTGGCATTGATCTTCAAAGTGGACAAATATTCACCAGCATGGACAGAATAGACTGCCAAGAGAACGAAACAAGCAAAAACGGTGAAGAATTTCATCATGGAAGAAATTATATGCGATCACCACTTTCTACTTTTGTCCTGACATAGTGTAGGAGCAGAAGAGACTACTATTTACTAATATAAGTATATAAACCTGATTCACCTACGCTACTTTTTTTTGAAAGATTAGGTCCTGATGAAAGCTTAATTCGACTTGACTTCTCTCGATTTAGGAACGACAATACACCAGCACGCGTGTGCGATTACGTGCAACTCCTAGCAAATTGATATTTCAGACCTATATATAATGGTCTTCATTTTTTTTTCAGAATAAAATATTCAATACTGTTGACAAAAAAATGTATGGGAAATCAAGCGGACAAGTCATTGCAAATAAAAGGATGTTCGATACATCATTGGATGAAGAATGTTGTAATCGTACTGACTATATTAAATACTAGTGCAATAATAGCCAATATGAATGATGCGCCAACACTAGCACCCGCATTCAGCGCATCGACGGTGATGCTAATTCCAAGAGATACTCCAATAATTCCGCTAATGAGACTTGCTACAACGAGACCTTTTGCCAACATAGATATATTTTTCTTTAAATTTTCGTTCACAAATGCAATTAGTAATACAGATACAGCCGAGGATGAAGATAAAATGCAGCTCACTGTCATAAACGCTCGTGCTGCTAACACATTATCCTTGGCTCTTGCAGTTGGTAAACTTTCGCACACCAGTTTAGCTCCTCTTTTAAGACAACCTTGCCATAATCCAAATACAAATGATCCCGATGCACTAGACAACTGGAACCTACACCAGGAATAAAAAAATGTTCTTTCATGCGAATCTTTTAATCGAAGAAAATTCATACGAACCACATTGGTAAACCATTGGCAATGATATATAAAATAGCAGTTACAGCTAAAACACTACTGGTGATAAATATTACACGTCGATTTTCAAAAGCCATTTTGCTTTAAATGAACAAAAGAGAATAATGCACTGATGGAAAGTCATAGCTAGTCAACAATATATACTTTTACATAAGGATGTATTTGCTCGCGTTGCGATAAGAGCATTGTTATTTTGTTGAAACAGCGTCCATGCGTCAATAATTAAGTATGCGTAATATTAAAATAAAGACGTTTATCTAACTTCATTAAGGAAGAGAATGCTTTTAAACGTTAACACATGGATCAATATTTTCCCTTTTTTTGAATGAAATTATTCATAGAAGAGATCCAATAGCTTGATTCTAACAAAAAGAAATGCAAATTTCTATCTGGAGGATGAAGGTGCGGGGGAGTTACTCACATTTACACACAGATCGTAAAATTATATTATTAGTCGGCCTACGAATCTATCTGCATTCTTTCTTTGTCTACAAGAGTGTTATTCACTAAAACTGTGCATAGATGTCACCAAACTATGTGCGTTTCTGTTGACGACACATCGAATTCTCATTCCATCGTTACTTATTCTTCAGGTCACTCAATTTCGAACTTAGACAAGTGTTAATCAGAACTGACGCCGACGATGAGATATCTATTAATGTATGTTATTCTACCTAACCTGAACATATTGTTGCAAAAAACGTTTCAGATTGGAACGTTAAGTACGCTTAGAGCTGAGAAGAAGCTTCAACAACTGATCGGTATTCATCCGAATAAACGAATATTAGTCGACGACGATTCCGAGCTATTAGGCAATACGCAAACTCTTTCCAGTTACAGCATTGACAATAACTAGATCATCTATGTATTGTCAATGGACTCGCTGCGTGCAGTGACACGGATCAGTCATCAGCGAGTATACAGCTGGAATTGAGACCAAAGCATTCATGTCGACTTGTTTTCTTTTAGACCATTACTATGTCTAGACGAAAGATGGTGAAAGAATTGTGTTTGATGTAACTTTATTTGTGTTCATTCTTTTTCATATTGCGTAGACAATATCAGCTTTCTTTTGGATTTTTACTAGGTGAATCCATCTTGGATAATCAGGGACGTGAAAAGAAAGATCCGAGAACAAGCGCACATACCATCTGTTAAACAATTTTTCGTTATAGTAATGATGCTGAGATCAATGGTCGATAACGATGCTATCTCGCACTAAAACCTTAGAAACGGCTCTACAATTCTCCCCAGTGGAATGGGCTACGAAACAGAGCCGGTTGATCATGCATCAGTAAGTCAAGTGCAATCAACCCTCAGACAGTTGTATCAACAGTGAGTGCTAGTTCTACGTAGCTTGTCGTAATAATAATGTGGCAAAAGTTCAAGAACTTCTTCAGGTACTCGCGATCGAAGATATGAATAAGCTAGAGTCAAATGGAAGCACACCACTTCATGTCGCTTATTACTAATGACGCGAAGAAGGGTGTCTCTTAATTAGGCCGAACTCGGAGAGTTTTTTCAGATGACTCCCAAGGGGGATGATCTTAAATATCTGCTGGAAGATTACACGGTCGAGGCAGGTTTCTACACTAAGCTCAACGTTGATCTCGTCAGTATAAAGCTGAGCGAAAGCTTTCCATTGCTATTCTTGTGTTTCATCCTTCCTTTGATCAGTATCGGTTTACCGGTGAAGTATATTGCGGAATACTGGTGAAAGCCAAGTAGAATATTTCGTCGGAAAATGGAAAAGAAAGAATATAAAAGGTCAAGATATCAAGATGGCTATGATTTGTACTTACATAGTTGAAGATCAACGAATCAGTCTCGATATTAAATCGCATATCAGAAAGAAAAAGAAGTGCTCATCTTTTCGTATACTGTTTTTACCGTAACCAGTATCGAGAGACCACTGGTAGCGAATGCCAATACAAATACCAGTATTAAACTCACACAATATCGATCAAAGTTTTCTTCGTAAGAATTAATGACAGTTTTTCAAAAGCCAATGTGAACATATAGATAAAGTTTCTCTTCAGTTGGATGGCTATTACGCTCATTGCAGCTGAACGACTATTAATTAGTCGTTTTGCATAGGCGAAGAAAAGTTACGCGATTTTTCTCTTCTTGCTTTCAATATTACAGTTATTATTTTGTGGAGAACAAATAAATGATACGTGTCTAATAAACTGCATTTAAAATCTGGTAGAGAGAAAATATGAAACTTTAGATTTAATGTCATGTTAGTATACCAATGTAATATTTGATAATTAGACTGCGATTGCAATCGCATAGAAAAAAGGAAGAAAAATACATCAGTAATATACAGTGCAGTTATTAATTCTGGTGATTTTTTTCTCGTAAACCGAGGATTTACATTAAGATCAATACTATACTCTCCCTCTTTTTCTTCCTTAAACTTGATCTTCAAGTAGTTCAAATATATATATTCCGTCCATGAATTCTTACACGGAAAATTGTGTTTTCTCTCATAGAAACAGTACTGTCGCTACAACATTACCTGTTAAAAACGTGACTTTTTTGCATACATGAGTTTGTTTGGAAGATTAAATGAGGATTGAATAATAGGAATATTATTCTTATTTATAAAATTTTCTGCAGCTAGATAATATATTTTGAAGTGATAACCAGCGTTCTACTAAGAGTAAAGTTTATATCACACAATGAAAATTTGGATCCTGATTACAATAATGGCTATTCAGCATGAACTAGGTACATATTGTTTGTCTTATATAATTTAGTCAAAGTACAGTTTTCTCTTTATCACCATCAGGTATTTCTTTGAATCAATCAAAGCTTAGTTCATGTGCGAAGTGGAGTGACGTAGCAGTGACATTCGCTGATCAAAGCTGCATTGGGCTACAACCGACTGGTATCTTTATCAATTCGCAGAACAATATCTTTGTAACTGAACGACAATATGGTCAGATTCTAGTCTGGTATAACGAATCGTCTCACTGCAACGAGACTCTCATGACGAATGTCACTGACTCCTGGAGTCTCTTCGGCACAGAAAACAATGATATCTATATCGACAATGGCTTACACAAGAATCGAGTGGAAAGATGGCTATGGAATAGCTCAGCTAGTAAATCTGTGATGGAAACATCTAGCTCATGTACAGGGCTTTTTGCTGACATAGACAACAATCTATATTGTTCATCAGCCGAAACGCATTCGATTTATAAGTTAGAACACAACAGCAGCACATTGCTGCCGAGAGTTATCGCCGGTACTGGCTGTCCTGGACCATTAATGAATATGCTTGGTCATCCGTATGGAATCTTTGTTGATAAAGACTTTCGCTTACATGTTGCCGATAGTCACAACAATCGAATTCAATGTTTTGGTCGAGGCGAAACAAATGGAATCACAATAGCTGGTTTTGGAGCAGAAGTCGTTCTCATTTTAGCTCGACCGACAAGCATCGTTCTCGATGGTGATGATTATATGTTTATTGTCGACAGTGGAAATCATCGAATTATTCGTCTTGTACCTAGCGGATTTGAATGTTTACTTGGATGTACAGGTACGACTGGAACTGCACCCAACCAGCTGACCCATCCACACGCAATGGCATTCGATAAAAATGGCAATATTTTTGTGACAGATTCGGGGAACCATCGAATCCAAAAGCTTCATTTGACTCGCAATACTTGCCGTACGTATGTCCATAATGGACGAGATCTTGTAGATATAGTGTTACATTGGATGCAGTCAAGACTAATTGAGGGCTCGAGATAGTTCACTAGATTGACTGTTCTTGAATAACGAAGGTAGATTATAAAAAACGGAAGCTATATTGAAGTCATTGAGCTCAATGATATTGCATTTATGTTAATCTAGATTCATTAACTCTTGCTGGCGTTCAACTCAATCTCAATCCTACGTTGTTACCAAGTGGATGGTCTTTATGTTATTCAGCAACATATGCAACGGCTATGGGAACAAGTTCCCTTCCGATGATTTTGTCGTCATGCAATAGAACCAACTTATTACTTGGATGTCGACCGGTCGGTAAAGTGAATTTGACTATAGCAGCGATAGGTCATCGAAATGATGTTCTATACAACTGTGGATCCTTATCTAGTTGTACCCATATTGCGAACGGTGTTGGTTGGTATTATTCAGATTCATATTCATGGGGTTTCGTATCTGGTTGTGACAATGTAATACGAAATCACTGTGATACTGAATCAACAAATGCTATTTATCGATTATGTTGGCATACTAAAAATGATGGTGGATATAGATGTGGTTTAGCAACGGGACTTAATGGCAATACATTATGGGAAAAAGTTATCTATCATACAAACTGAGCAAAATAACAGATTATTGCTTGAAAAGAAACACCATCTCATTTCATTTATCAAAACTGTTTTCTTGTAATATGAGCGTGAAGGATAATTGCAGCAATTTGAATGTCGAGGACATAAATGAAATTGGATTAGTAATTCGTATGAGAGATTCGCGCTCATTCAAGACAACACAAGTATTCATTGGTCTTCTGTCATTTGGAGTCTTTTCTTTGCACTGATACTTGAATCTCCTAATGATTATATGTTTCTCCGTAGAAAATTCAGCCGTTCCTGTCATATTAGTATCGTTTTACACAAAAAAAGAAAAGAAATCTCATTGGAGGAAACCCTGCCATCATCTTCTGCTCCAAAGTAAAACGTTGACTTCTGTTTCTAGCTGGCACATACGTATTCATATTGGTCTTGGAAAGCTGCTACACGGCCCTGAACTCCATTTTCTACGTATATTATAACACCAATTGTATATCTACAACGTTCATTCACACCACGAATAGCACATAAAGCTTCTTCGATGAGTTCGACTGCCAAAACCAAACAACCTTTTCGTTAAAACTCATCGTAGCGGCTGTCATATCTTGAATGACAAACATTCCTTTACAACATAATAAGTTGCAAACTATGGTTTGTATTATTGAAAACGATACTGTTTTCTTAGCCCTCATTTCTCTTCTTCATGAACAATATAAAATATGGAAGTATAAAGTTTATTGAAGAACAACATTGACGCTTACTTTCAAAGACGGTAATTTTTACGTATTAGATATCTAAACAAATGCGTTTGCAACACATGTTTAGCAGTCACTTTTGAAGAGAATTCTACTTCTAATCGCACACTCGCAAGAAAACCAACAGAAGCGACCAGATTGTATAGATTTTCTTCATACTTTTCGAAATGAAGAAGTCTTTCATAATGTTCGTACAAAAAAAGAGAACATCACAATTTTCACGTCAAGTTAACAATTGCTTGATTTAAGGTTATAAAGCCATGCGTCTTCGTAGAAAAGTTCGGTAAGAATATCTCTCATAGATATATTATATAAAAACAACGAAGTTTCGAGTACAACTTCGGACAACTCGAGTAAAAATAGTCCATTGACTGTTTGAATGTCAGCAAATTTTTTATCAATTGTTCAAATATAAAATGACAACGTTAATGCCAGAAATTCAAAGTAAAAACAATCCAAGCTGTTTTCCTCTCGCTAACAAATGTAATATGTGTCACTTTGAATAATGAAGCATTCTATAATCAATACGGAAGTAAAGTGCATTAATTATCGTTTGCTATCATGTTCACCAAAAACGAGAACGCTCAGCAAAGGAAAACGTTGCTATAGTGAACTTTTTCCATTATCTGAAAACTTTTGTGATTAACGGGGACATATTTTTCCCAGTAGAAAGTAGTAACAAGTCGGATGATATAATGATGCTTTAACTTTATAGAAAACTACTCCACAAGAAAACATTTCAATTTCAGTTTCTACTTGACAACAATCGTCTTTTTACCAGCTATGTCGCTTACTTTTTCTTCTCCTATTGAATGATCCTTGAACAACAATTGCATCACAGATGTTATCATTCTGCTTCGAACTGTATACTGAAATAACAGGAAGATATTACGTTTACGGCTTATTCCCTTGATCTCAGTTACTGTGCTTGTCGCAGATGTTTTAATAAATATTTTACATACTAACATGCAAAAGCAGGCAATGGCGGATCAGATTTTCTTCACAAAAATCTAGTCGTATCTGCAACTCCCTTCTATTGGATGATGTATGTTTCAACTACTCTTTTTGAAAGTATGACAATACTATCAAATATTCTTGTTCAATTCTTTCTCGAGTAACTACAACACATTGGTCAAAATGGAAATACGATTAGAGAAGTTAATTTCGGTATTGAATACAATTTGGTTTAACATGGAAGAAGCCGAGTTCATATGGAACCTGATAGAACTTTGTCTATCATACTATTTTAACGATATGATTACGCATTATGTTGTGTATTAAGAAAAAAAAACATGAAATATAATTGATTAATTTCTCACTCTACCTTTCTTCAGCTTTAGATTTTCGTACGGAATAACCGATAACAAAACTATACAATTTAAAATGAAGCGAAACAAAATCGGCGTTGATCATGTAATGTATTAACAAAAAAAGAAGCAAATGTAACATAAGAGACAATACTAATTCTTTTAGTTAGACATAGCACAAACATCAAATGCGAGATCACGAGTATGGTATGTGTATTGAAGGTATAAAGTTTAAAAGAAAACATAGCCCGTGTTTTAGGTGTGTAAAACTTCGAACTGGAAAAGTCATTCGGAACATGTGTATAATGACTATTGTGGTTTTGATTGTGACAGCGACAGTCGTGTGGGCATGTATTTTCACAAAGAACATGAAAAATGCACAAAAAACAACACCAATCGAAGTAACATCTACGACAACAACAATGACAGAAGAGACAACAACGACCAATACTTTATCGACAGCATCCTCCACCACATCAGTAACCACGACAGAGACCACCTCCACAGCAACAAAAGGAGGTATGTATACGATGTTATAAACTATATAATTGAATTTCATAGAGCTGTTTTTAAATTTCGAAAAAATCTTTCTTTTTCGAAGGCATTACTAATCGAAGATGGAACGAAACGGGCACTGCGGTCGCAGGAGGAAGTCGACGAGGAGATAGACTAGATCAATTAAACAGTCCTTGTATCATTCAAATTGATAGTGATGACGATCGAATTATGTATATTGTCGAAAGATTTAATCATCGTGTTCTCCGATGGAGGCAAGGTGAAAACCAAGGTGAAATTATTGCTGGCGGTAATGGCAAGGGAAGCCGACTCGATCAGTTAGATCATCCGACCGATCAAATTGTTGACAAGAGTACAAATTCTCTTATTATTTGTGATTCCGAAAACAGACGAGTGATACGATGGTTTATACAAAATCCAACTGATACGCAGCAGCAAATAATCCTGTCGAATTTCGATTGTTCTGGGCTAGCGATGGACACCGATGGAAACATGTATGTTTCTGATTATAAAAAACGTGAAATAAAACGATGGAAAAAAGGAGAGACGAATGAAACTACTGTAGCAGACGGACCTGGTCTTGGATATCAGGTCGAAGGAGGATATCTTCCATTGTATTTTTTCGTGGATGAAAATCATTCAGTTTATGTATGGGATAACGACAACAATCGTGTTTTGAAATGGGCAAAAGATGCAAAAGACGCGATTGTTGTTGCTGGTAAATATGATACAGAAGACATTGTTACACGAGTATCTGGACGTCATGGGTTATTTGTTGATCGAAACAACAACATCATCTATGCGTGCGATTTAGTGAATCACAAAATTATCCGTTGGTTAAATGGATCGAAAGATGGTAGTGTTATCGTTGGTAGATATGGACAAGGACGTCAGCCATGGCAGTTTGGTATGCCTTCCACTTTAGCGTTCGATCGACAAGGAAATCTTTACGTTGCCGACTATGGTAATGACCGAATACAGAGGTTCGATGTTATTGATGATTAATTTCTGTATAAACTTACTTATAAGATTCGCTTTTTGACTGTCACAATATCTTTGATTTGCTTTTCTTAAATCAGTAATAAAAAGAATGATTGCATAGGGTGTGAGTGTAAGAAAATTATCCCCGTGATCATCCATGCGTTCAAAGATGCTTTTCAATTCCATGATAAACTATCAAATAAAAATAACAATACTTTTCTCTGTTGAAGTTGCTCCATCAAGATGAAATGACACCTCTCATTCACAAAGATCATTTCCTTTTTTTTAAGACAAGTTCTACTATATCCTTCCAGATCAGAGGAAGTAACACTTGTAATCAGTAATATGACCGAATCTCTATATTCGATGGTTGTAGTAACCGATAACGTAGACATTTCCTTGTCGATCGACTGAGAAACCGGATACCATGCTTATTCCGCCCTGTCACTGATATATCACATTGCAAAATATCCTCTCCACTTCGGCAGGTTCTCAGTTAACGATTTCACCGATCATTATCGTTTATGGTTAAGTTTTACGGCTGCTCTGAGAAGAAAAAACAGTATTTTATATTCTGACATAGATACTGTATAGAACAGAACAGTGAGAAAATGATTTACGTAGCATTCACAATCGTTTGATTTTAAACAAAACCTTCAAACTCATTTGATATCTTTACATTCGTTCTTTCTTGATAATACCCAGTCGTTGTTTTGCTCAACTGATGTCATCCAGAAAAAAGAAAGTTGCGAAATTCTTCTCGATGATATGTCTGTAATCAACCTATCAGAGCTTTCATTCTCACACCGTCCTCAACCTTTTTTCCAACATCTTGCTTCTTTTACACGTTCTTCTTGTTTTTTTCTTTTTTCGTCCTCTTATTTTTTTCCCATGAAAGTATTTACGCATCTCGCTTTTTTTGCTTTGCATTCAGTTGTTTTATCCATTTTCACGTTCGCATGCTGTGCAAGGTGGAGGTGCAAGTGAATGCATTTCTTGTTCTCTTACGCAGTCTGAAGGATTCGCTGACATAGACCGACTCTTGCTAGATCGTGAGCAAGCTAGGTATGAGATATCCCAATCTTCATCTACACTCACACTTATTAGTCTTTATTGGAGAATAGACTAGTGAAGTGTTTTCATATTTTTAGATTAAAACACGGGTTGTTCGACGTGCCTTTTGTAGATTATCAACGAGTTTTGGCACAAAGTATTGGGATCTATATTACTGAAAATTTGTTATTTTAATAAAACGATGTCGGAAATTATTAAAGTCAAATTTAATGGAAAGACCAAACGTTTTCCGTATCCATCAACATCGATCAAAGACTTTCTAGATGAGCTACGCGTTGAATTCGATTTACCGACAACCGCTGAATTGAGCTTGTTAGAAGGAGATGAAGAACTATCAGTGACATCGACTTTGAAAAGTCTTGGTATCGCAAATGGTTCTGAACTGGTCTTAGCATCTGCTGTTGAGAACAATAGTATCACAGTCAAAGTCCAAACAGTAACTGGACAAATATTTGAATTTCATTTCGATCAACATGCGACTTTAAAAGACCTATATTCTGCTATTCAGGCCAAAGGCGGTTTCACAACAACATATCCTCTTCTGTTCAATCATCGTATGCATATATTCCAATCTCCGAAAATTTTGACAGAGCCACTAGTCAACTTCTTATGTTTAACGACTCTCAACCATCCAAGTATTCCGCAGTTTTACATTTTCGAATGTGATCGCACGCTTGAAACACGCATGTATGAGTATCAGAAAAATTTGAAGAGTATATTTGTTCAAAATGATCTATGGCAACCTAAATCTGGACATCAAAGTGATATGGCTATGATGATTTACCTTAATTCTATGTATGCATTAATCAGAGTATTCTTAACCAAGAAAGACGTCGATTTCGATAGTGTACATAATGTTTACATGCCACAATTTCTCATAGTGCTTCGTCGATTTCTCTTTCCACCGGCTTGTCTTGCATTCCAACATGCCATGGAAGGAGCGCTATTCAAGTTCGAAAAGCCTCTATTAAGCGAAGCCTTCTTTCATCTATTTCGAAATCTGTTACCAAGACGCATTCCTGATTCTGACCTGTTCTCCTATACACCGTATGTTTTCTGTTGGATATTTTGTAATGGCGACCATACTTCAACACAAAGTGCGTGCTATGAAAGTGCCCAACTATTAACACGTGTGAATAGTACAACGTGTGCTGGCACTGTAAGAGAAGCAGCATCATCCAGATATTTTGAGGAGCCTGTTCGATTGCTCAACGAGAAAGTCGTCAAGGGAGCTCATGAACGTTTTGTATTGTGGGAGAATGCTGAAGCGCGAGCTAATCCGTTGCTAACAGAAAATGATTATCAACGCCAAACAGATCTTATTGCTTTGCTGATGGCTTTAAAGCATCTTCAAGCAACGTTGGAAAACAGTAGACGATCATCAGAGAAAACTAGTGCATTCGAAATGTATTCAACTGATTATACACTGTGGATACCTGATAGAGACACAGATTTATTTTCAATTGGTAATGTTGCTGAACAAAAGCATCATTTGAAATGTTTCACCGACCATGATCTAGCGGAAATCAAACATCAATTGTCCACAAATGATTTGTATAGTATATTTACATTTGCTGCTCCATCATCGTTGTCCAAATATAATCATGCGCAATTCACTCTATTGAAATCTGAAAAAGTCGTTTATACTCTCAGTGCTGCTAAAGGTGGAACTAATTCATTTCTCTGCTTCGATCCGCAAGAAGACGAAGAAATGTTTAATAAAAGTGACGCCGCTTCAAACGAACTTCTTGAACAATATCCACACATTGTCGTCAGGGAGAATGCCGCCGACATCAGGAAAATAGAACAAATCACCTGTATACTTTTTGATATTAGTGGGTCAATGCATGTTATGGTAGGCAACGAAGATAACAAACACAGCTTATTAGAATTAAGTACCATGGCTTTTGGTGCTTGGCGTGATCGGTTGGTATCGTACAGACTGGCACATGCTATCGGCCTGATTTATTTTGGTGTCGACGATGAAATAGATCGTCTACCTTTGTTTTTCCGACGTGACCTCAATGCTCGAGTTGTTACGCAGTGTCATATCACACGAGACTTCGCTCAATTCGACAAAGCACTAGAGAATCGACCCGCCTGTGGTTTCGACACCCCTTTATATGATGCAATTGACATCGCTATACGCCGTATTCTATCATTTCGTGGAGATCATCAATCCAGACTCAGTTCAACGTGCAAAGATTTGATACTCTGCTTAACCGACGGCGTTGACACTTGTAGTCGAGTTTCGCAATCAGCTGTTCTACAAAATCTATTGAAAAACAATATAGTACTCGATGCCATTAGTTTCGATACAAAACCGAACGAAGTCTTAATTGACTTTTGTGAAAAAACCAAGGGATATTATTACGTTGATCTTCAGCATAATCAAGAATCTTTATTGAATTTATTTGAATTGGAAGCAACTATATCAGTTCTAGATCGGAAAGAGGATGTCTTTGGTAAAGTCAGCCAACCTCAGCGTCGGCAACCAATGCTCTTAGATAAACCGGCTGTTTCAGCGAAACAAGCGAAAATCAGCGATGGACGTACATCAAATATATCGCTGAGACGAGTTATGCTTGAAATTAACCATTTAAATAAAGTCGAATTAAAAAATTTCGATCTATTTATTTCAAAAGAAAATATCTTCTTTTGGAAAGTGATTATGGAAGGAGAAATCGGCACACCGTATTCCGACGGTCGTTGGTTATTGTTCATCGAATTTCCATCGACCTACCCACAACAGCCACCTAATGTCCGATTTATCACGAAAATTTATCATTGTAACATTAACGATGACGGGAAAATTTGTCATGACATATTAAATACTGCCTGGTCGCAGAAGACGTCCATGTATAACGTTTTCATGGAAATATTACGCTTACTGAGAGAGCCAAATGCCGATGATGCTTTATCATCAGTTAAAGGTGCTCAGTGCAAAGAATCGAGAGAAAATTATGACAATACAGTCATCGAATGGAAACGTCTATATGCAAATTTATCCGTCGAGCAATTGAAGGTTCAATATGCACTTGAACAAAATTAAAAGAACTGAAAACTGCGAATTTTATGTTTGAAACTGTTTTGCAGCCCACTAGCTAAGACACATTTGTTTTTATTTAAAAATAAAATTTTTCTTTTTCCGAACTTCTAACTTGTGATGTAATTACAATCAACTCGAGTGAATCAAATAGTTCTCACACATATCTTTTTCGAGTAAAAGCATACTTTTTATCACAACGAATGAAAAACACTTGAATAACATAAAGTTACTTTTATTTAAGGGCGAAGCAAATAACAGTTTTAATGATTAATAACATCGAATCTCTGTATTCGATGATTGCCAGAATCGGCTACATAGAGGTTTCCTTGTCGATCGAATGCTACACTAGATGGCAAATTCAACTGATTCGGTGCACGTCCTTGCCTATTTCCACCGGCAATAACACTACCTTCCTTAGCTCCGTTCAGCCAGCGTACAATTCGATAATTCCACTCATCAGCCAAATAGATATTACCGTGGTAATCAACATACAATTCACTAGGTACGGCTAGTTGTGAAAGACTATCGCCTCGACCATGTCCACCAGCAACAACAATTGCTTCTTTTGCATATTTTGTCCATTTCAAAATGCGATGATTGTAGTTATCCACCGCATAAACTGAATGATTTCCATCGATGAAAATAGGTATAAGCGGAAACCTTTCATTGGATTGATCCCCGAGACCATTTCCATTTGCGACAACCGTTCCATTTGTGTCTCCTTTTCTCCATCGTTTTATTTCCCGTTTGCGATGATCAGAAACATACATATTTCCATCGACATCCATTGCTAGACTGGAACAATCAAAATTGGATAAAATTATTTGTTGTTGTACGTTGGTTTTGTTTCTAATGAACCAGCGTATCACTCGCTTGTTTTTATAATCACAAATAAGAAGAGAATTTGAGCTTTTCTCAACAATCAGATCCGTAGGAAGATTCAATTGATGCAGTTGACTTCCTATTCCATTTCCCCCAGCAACGACTTCACCTTCTTGTTCACCTTGCTTCCATCTGACGACACGATGATTATTTCTATCGAGGATATACATAATTTGATCATCGTCAACATCGATCCGAATGCGAGAAGGATTATTCAATTGATTCAGTCGATTGCCTTGACCATTTTCTCCCGCAACGGTAGTACCATTTTGTGTCCATCTTCGACGGATAGCATCTACAAGAAAAATTGTTATTTTTTTTAGAAATCAGCAGCAAAACAGGTTCACCAAAAGATTTTTTCCTATCTGGTACGTACCCTCTTTTGTTGCTGTTTTGGTGATACTCTGTGTTGTTCTTCTCGTTGTTGTAGATGATGATATCGATGCCGATGGCGGTGTTGTTAGTTCTCGTTTCATCACAGTTGTCGTCGTTGGTGTTATTGTCACAAGTGTAGCAACTTCTACACCTTTCAATTTTTTTATGAAAATTGGCGTGCAGATAATGGTCGCTACCATAAGTAAAATAACAACAGTCGCAAAGCATAAATTTCGGAAGAATTTTCCATTTCGATACTGTTGACATCTAGAATGCGAGAGTATCATACGATGCTCGCGATTTATCATTTGATGCTTGGAACTAAAATAATCCTTAGTAGTGCTTTCCATTATAGATTTGTCTGTTTATCATAAATACATTACTTGGCTAACTCCTATCTTGTTTCGATTCAAATACAATTGTATACTTGAACTATATGTAGTTAAGAAATCTGAAATTAAGAAACATTTAGACGAGATTTATTTGTTTCAAAAGAACTCGAATCAATTGACTGTATTAGACACTTTATCTAAAACTGAAAGAAATAAAAATAGATAAGATGTCATTTTTTACTAATAAAATCACTAAAGAAACACATTCTCTGATGACAGTTTACTTTAGTTTTCATTACATTGTACGAGGATACAGTAATTTTTCTGAATGTCGCTACATGAGAACTACGATGACGACATTTTTCATACAATTGACACGATCTTTAAGGACAATAACTCACTGCGTCGCGTTGTCTATGCTTCAGTGCCACTGCATGATATTTATAGAGCATATGCGGCGAACACATTGATGAAATCGGTCATATAGAGAGAATGAACGCAAATATCTTTCCTTTTGCATCACCTGGAGTTGGAAAATTAAATGGAACCATATGCAATGTAATTATTCTCAACAAGTGCATTTCAACAACGCATTTTATCCAGAGAGAACAAAGTTTTCTGAGAGAAAAAACAATTAGAGGATCTTTTATGAGTATGGTCAGCTTTTATTTTGTCGTAAATTCAAGCGATCCATTTAGGATTTCATAAAAATTGACGAATCTTTTTGTCATCTACTCAATTGCAAGACAATTAACAATACTTCCAATGCATTAGTGACTTTGTTCAACACACTTGGCTTTCTTCTTCTAGGAAATCCTGATTTCGCTGTGTTCTACAGGAAAACAGAATGCTTTACCATAACATGACGCACCTGGCAATGAAAAAGAAATAACTTCGATTAATTCTATGGTTGATTCATCATATTGATATTGTTCGTTTACTATTTCAAAACTGTCGAAATATTCATCGGAGATTTAAACGAACAATGGTGTTGTTTTCTTCGAATTTTCTGAAGTCGTATCATGGGAAACGTCAAAGAGTTGATAAAAAGAAAAAGTGGCTAACTATTCATAGAATTAGAACGATAGTGGATGAGAAGCATATCGTGAAGGCGTTGTCGCAGTTATAAATGAAAAGATTATTCTCATGCACATTTTTCTACGATGCTCTCGAAGTTTTATTTCATATTTTAGTTGAAGCTAAAGGATATTGGATATTCTTGCGTAAGAATAGAATGTTTGATGTTGACTCTTTAATGATACTGAGGAACATTAGCCACACGATGCATCTCAGGACGAGTTGAATGGAGAAAATTTGGTTTTCGACTACAACATGACTGAATAATCTTGCGAAGTTCTTTCCGGAAGACAGTACCAGTCAATGTAAATAAATAGAAGCTCGTTGTATGAGCAAATGCCGTCATCGCGCCGAGAGTTCGACTGACGAACGTTTCTTGAGCAATGCGAAGTGTACTCTTGGAAAGATTCGTAGTGAATGCTGAATAGAGTTGCTCGATCGAATACGGTAAAGTCGATACGTTAATGACGAGTACTTGAGCAATTAACATACGTAAAAGTTGCTGATCTGTTCGTCGAACGATTTGATTACCTTGAATAGTTCGTGGTATCACTTGGCGATGTTGACGAAGATTGTTCAAGGTGAGAAAACCAAAGAGAAGCATTAACAGAGCTGGTAAAAGTGAATACCAACTCATATACCAGAATCCAATGAATGTACGGTAAATACCTTTTTGAGCATTGCACATAGGTACTATACTACCAAACCGATCAAACGCATTACTGATTTCATAATAAATGAGCATGTGACTATACAAGAGCATAAGAAGTACGGTTGTAATTGTTGTAGCCCATCTTGCTACTTTCATTGAGCTTAATCGACGAATGTTTGCACTAGGCGAGCTGTGAAAGAATCGATCAGTACACGCCAAGACGATCAACCAGCAAGATATCGCGCGCGATGAATAATTGGCAAAGAATTGAATTTTACAAGTAGCAAGATTACCGTTAGTCATGTCGAAAGAGAAGTTATTGACAAGAATGCGTAGAGGAACAATGATATATACAACAAATAGACTGAAACAGGTTGACGACAAGAAATAGAGTGAACACGGCTCGTGACGCAGAGATGGCCGAGTAAATATAAATAGATTGAATACGAGACCGATTGCGCCTAGAACGAAATTTATAAAGCCCAAAACTAAAACGGTTGTTGTTGATGCCGAATTTATTTGAGCAATCGTAGCATTCACCGATGACATACTGCAAACGTTTACTCAAGTTCTAGCTAATTATAGTTTTGATGCACTTTTTTGTAATAGAAAATTATAAATGACTATGATTCTATTCCATTATAAAGAAAAAGAAGAGAACGTAGTAGAAATGTGAGATAGAATATGTTGTATTTCAGCTACGTCATAGAGTAAATGGGAAAATATGAGACTTGTCGCAGGCTAAATTTTTTAAATAAAATTCGAACGATATTTGAGTTGTGGAAAAGCTTTAATGCCACAGAACATTCTCACCCTGAGCATCGTACCATTAAGAATACAACACAGAGGAGTTTTCTCTCTTTTGTCGATCGCACAGATAAAACGACTTGAAGTTTAATTAAGTTTCAATAAATGAATCATGAAAACAGAGGAATATCATATTTGTCTCGCGGTTATATGGACTAGGACAAACTGGTGCAAATTAAAAAACTAAAAAAACACGTGTTTTTTACACGGGAATATGTACGAATTTAGTTTTCGTTTGTAACAGATACTCTGACTCATTCCATGCCAGACAGAGTGGGATGATGATGATCCGGTGATCGTGATAAGATGCGTTGATGAGCAGTGAAATCTAATTAGAAAGTGAGAAAATTTATTGAATCCACATACTTCACTACGTACTATCACTGTGAGCACCACTTATATCGATAAACAAATGTACCGCGTGGGAGAATATTTCATACCGCCCATGCATAGTTTTTAAACGCGTTCTTGACAAACATAGATCTCTGTGTACTTGCAATATTTGACTAGTGCTTTCGGGAAATCTAAATATTGCTTCTTCAAGATTCAACAATGCATCAATAATAATAGCCATTACTTCAGGAGCGCTTACATTCAAATCAAGCTGTTTTAAGTTAGCGAACATTTGACAAAACGTATCGATGGCTCGTCTATCTCGCCAAAATCCCCAATTGATTGGCGCGACTATCACCAGTAGATAAATCTGATTCTTTAAAAGATTAAGAACCTTTTCTCGTTGATTGAATAGTGATTGAAGTTGTTCCATACAATCGATTTTTAGACACGTAACGTTACGAAATAGTTTGAGAAGACCCGCCTTTAATTGCTTTTTATCTTCACGTACTAAACAAGCGCCTAGACGCAGGCGTTTCACGTTGCAATAATCAACATAGGGTTGAATATGATTCTTTAAAGATATGCAACGGACTGGTGACCCTGGCAGCGGTTGAGGACCTCGAATATATAGGTCGATTACTTGAGCACCAAATCGTAGAGAAGTTGGCGATGGTGTGCCTGCACTATAATCGATTGTTAGTGCTGTCGTTGTCTCGGACAGAGTGTCGAACAGCTGATCTGTTGAACCTCTCACCAATGAGTTCACATCGGTCATGTCACGCATGTCGCGTAGAAATTCGTTAGTGAAGAGACGCGAGCCACGTGTATGAGATAATATAAGATATACATACCAATGCTTTTCTTTCAGCCAAAAGTCCGTTCGGAATGGCATTAGTATGGCATTCATCTTCTCTACTGTTAACTCTCGATGATCATATCCGTAGAAGAATTCAAAGACAAATTCTTTTAAGAAAGGCGCTGATGTTTTCAAAGAGCTTTCCCACCATGATCCATCGAAAAATTCATCGAAATTCTGCTTCTGTGAAGCATGACTTTGCAACGATAAGCACGTCAAATTTGACAGAACCATTTGTAGATCGTTAAAAAGGACTTTCTTCATAAAAGTAGTAGGTAGCTCTGTAAATTTGAATGTAATACGATTATGATCGATATTAAGTACACTTTTGGATGAAGTTGTGCCAGGCAGCGCATCTTCCAAGTGCTCTAAGTGTACGCTTTGTACAGTAAAAGAACGTAGATTCGGTAAATATTCCTTTATTTTTCGTACATCTTTGATCGTGCATGATTCTAAAGAGACGCAACCAATAGTGGGAACAGTAGACATAAGTGCCAAGAGGATATCGGGTTTTTGTAACGAAATTTGACGAATGTTTTGTAAGGTTGTTAAAAAACGTATAGAATGTTCGACTCGCTCTTTGTTAACATGCGGATGGTGATCTCTTATTTTAAGCAATGTTATCGCCAGTTGAGGCATCGATTCTATTAAATGATCGATGACTTGCGAAAATGATGTGTTAGTAATACCACTCAAATCTAACGAGCGCAAGTGATCAAATGTGTGCAATTGATGTTCATAGAGTGTAAAGAATTGGTTCGAGGAAAACATGCCACTTCTATTATAATGATTGAAGAAGCTAAAGCCGTCTTTTCTTATTTTGAATTCCGTTTCATCTGTCGAAAAACGCAGCGAAGAAACGTGTGAGGGCAGGATACATTTGCACAGCAACTTCAACAGTCTAGTGCCTGTAACTAGCTCAACATGAGGATAAGAAAGTGCAATGGTCCGTAGTCGATGATTAACAAGTGCCACACATAAATATATATCAGCTGATGAAAGATCGTTAAAAATTTTATACAGCAATTCAACTGGTAGATCATCGAGCTTCATAGTACAACTTTCCATTTGCGTATTTCTTCTCTCGATTCAGTCAGCCTTCCTTCTTTGTTCCAACGATAATTTCCCACTGACGTGACACAGAGCGGCGTTGTTTTTTCTTGCCTGCAGTCTTCTACTATTCTTATTGTTTTCTTTTTATACCTTTTATAAATATCATATTTGCATAAGAAAAGAAAAATACTCACTGCATATAACCCCTGTAAAATTCTTTTGGGTGTCAACGCATTTTGTAGTTTTTCCCCAAAATAAGTATTCAATACCTACAGCTTGTACGTGTGTTAACATTCTTCTCTCCCGATAATCATCTTTTTCCCCACGCTTCGAATATGACATCTATTCAATTTTTATACATTCGTTGAGATTGTGAGATGAGTGAGATGAGAACATAAGACCTTTCAATTACAGGTCTACTTACACTGACTTATCTATGAATAAGTTAGATCTCTCGTTTAAGAAAATGATCATGTAGAATTTATCTTTAATGAAATCAATCATACATAAAATCGTGAATATATTTGAATATTAATCATTAATAATTACGATTCTAAATACAGTGCTGATGAATAAAACATATATTATTTGTATTCCTTATAATTCTTCTGAGCGATTCTTAGTGACTACAGTAAATTTTGTTCATATTCTTGGTCAATTGTTATTTCGTATTATCTTTTTATATACTCATATAGATTCGGTTTTTCAATCAAAACAACGTTTCAATCCTTTTCATACATTAGAATCAGAACAGTTGATAGAAGGTAATACTGAACGAACAGGATAAGAGTTTCGACACAAGAAAGATACGATCTAGTAGAGTAAATGAGCTAGATGTGTTTAAACGCATTTAGTCTTCTTGCATTACTACATTTGACACTTTCATATGTATCGAAGCATATGAATTCAGCGAGTGATTCTTAGGTATTCCTTATTGATTATTTCATTTGATTCATCCCAACGATGATAACGCTGCTTATATTTGTTGTACCGTTAAAGTTTTATAGAACCAAATTCAGATCCGGCAATGTTTCGGATCGATTAAATTAACGAATTTAAAGTGATAAACATGGAGTGAAGCTGAATAATTGTCTATTGACTGGGAAAAAAGGAGTTCTGTCGTAGAATTTGCCTGTCTTTTTCCTTTGTTTTTGTGTCTATGAACGAAAAAAGATAAACGTTCATGAAGGATTTTCCGCTGCGTGGTCTCCAAGCTATCAGGGATCGACTGCTTTTGCTTCTTTCGTATCGAAATGGTGCTGTCAAATGGCCTTCATGAGGACTGTGTTTGTGCTTCTATAATTACAATTTGTTTTTCGCGATGGATGATTATATACATATACGCACGCACGTTTCTCCTTAAATTTCTTTCGCTAATAGTCATTAGATAAGAATTGAATGCGTATCAACTCATTAATAAACGTCACATTGCAAATGGATAGTGACACAAAAAAATACTGGTTTTATTTTTGAGTAAGTATGTATTTTTTTTCATGATATTTTACTGCGTAATATCAAAACATGACGAGATAATTGATATACCAGTATTATACGAGTTATATAGGGAGAAAGCAACCGACCTATATCACATGTCATTGCAAACATATTCGTTTCTATCTCTTTTTCGCATCTATACTATGTATATATGAGGTAATAACATAAATAAACGCATTCTTTTGGTCGATGGTAAAATCTATACACTTATATCATCAACTGTCAAAGACTGAGGTTTAGCACACAGCATACATATATACTCTTATATATTGTCGAACAATCATGTTAGGATCATTTGTTCCCTTAAATACCGTCACCATACAAGAACATTTTAGTGAGTCTGACTCTTTTAACAAACAAAAAAAGACGGTATCGACACGTATATTTTTGATTTTGTATTTGCAGGATGTTGTCGAAGTAATCGGTTCGATTCAGATTTTCCTGTAGAACTGTTTGGAATTATACATCCAGTTGAATTTGATCAATCGATAAGCACTATCAATTATGCACGGAAAAGCACTTTTCATGAGAAAATTCTTGTATTTCTTTTTACTATAGTTCCTATAGTTGGAGCGATATCTTTCGTTACGCCTGGCTTAGTATTAATAACATTTGCAAGTCGTCCTGTATGGATAACATTGTTAGCAATTGGTGGTGTATTGTTTATATTGATATTTCCTGGAATTTTCGTGAATAATTGGATTTCTAGAAGGCGTTCCCATCGACTAAAGCATGCTGTAGAACTTGAATCACTGAAATATTTAGGGAAACGACCTATACCTACAAGATGGAGATTGATTTCACATAGTTATAGAACATACAGTTCTCAAGGTGGCTCGAGAACTCAAACAATTTACCTCGTAAGTTATTTTAAAGTGGTGCTTTGTCGACTTATAACTAATGTTACATATTTAGATACAAATAGATATTGGTCAAAGGCTAAATGCGCAATCTCGAGGTGATGCAGTACAGTCTCAATGGACTTTGCCTGAACCAATAGCAT